ACTGTAGTAATACATATGTGCATAAAAAACAATTAACATTAATGAAAATAAATATTGAAACGTTGACCTCTTCTGACCGTATTTATCTTCAAAATACTCCAACAACATAACATTTTTTTATAAACATAGTTTATTATTGTACTGTAACTTGCAGTCTTTATAACAAAACATTGTGTTTTGCAGATTAACTTGAACATTAAATTCTAGTTGAATTGGTTTGGACTGTATAAAACTCTCATTTAAAATATTCTGACCAAAAAAAATTACCAAAATAGAAATAATATGACATTGTTTGTTTCAAAAAGTTACAATAAAGTGTGGCTCATGAATGTGTTGATAAATAACAGCATTTGTGATTCTGTATTCTGCACTTCTTCGATGTTCAAGACCCTTTCATGGATTCCTCCTCATAGTTCACGCTGTCACTGACCTCCAGGAACCACTGTGAACTCTTGACCTCTCATCCATAACTCTTTGAGGTCAGATTTTCAACTTGATCTCCACACTTTGGTCCAGAGACCGCTCCAGTTGGAGCTGAATGTTGGCTGGATTATCAAAAAGTCTTTGCTGCCCTTCAGAGTATTTTAAGAGACCTTCTTGACCTTTTGTTGTTGCAACAAAATCTTCATTGTGCTTAGATTTAGAAAAAAACTAAATGGAGAAGAAAAAACATAAAATAACCAGATATAACAATCATAGGTAGCAATTCTAAAATAAATGAATAAATAACACAGGAGGATAAAAATTGTTAATATTTCTCTGTTAATGACCAACAAACCTACAATTGTCACAGAAATAACTTGAAACTGGCAAAAGTTTTATTTCCAACTCTGCACTAATAAAAAAAATTACTGCAAATTAACCAATAAAATTCAATAAAATTGTTGTTCAACAGAATCATTTAAAAAATAACTAATAAAGCAGGACAAAAATTATAATACATACAACTTAATAATTTCTTGCACAACATTTATTAACAATCTTTTATTATTATTATTATTATTATTCACAACTCCCTTTCATGACACTCAGGGTTAATTTACAACTGTGATCTGTAATGATAATTTCCAAATGACTTCCAATGAGACTTCTGCACCTGTTCAGACATATTTTAGCCAATTCTATCTGTGCAAACTGCTCTTGCAAAGTTTCCTACTCAAATTTCAACAGTATTTTGAAATATATTTAAACAGCAGGTTGTCTAAAGAGCCACTTTAAAATATTACAAGAAGGTGTGACTGCTTGAAAAAAAAACATAATTGAAGAAGAAGGAGGAAAGACTTGGAGGCATGTTTTCTCTAAGGGCTTGAAATGTGAATATAGTTTGACACAAATAGCATGATATACTGAATAAATCTTCACTAAATGGTACTAAACATAATACATTATATAGATTAACTGCACACATATTTTACATCAAAATACTATTTTTCAGTTGATGAAAGTAAAGTGCAATACCTATTAGAATATTACATCAGATTAACTATATATATATATATATATATATATATATATATATATATATATATATA